ACCAGTCTGACAGTAACTACATGTCAACATCACAACCAGGGGGGAGAAACATTTATATTCTGTGTCATTCATTTATAAAGTTTGTCCACAGCTCCATAAGGAGGCGGGGTTTAGGACCTATACTGCAGCCCGTCACCAGAGGGCGCTGTTCTCAGAGAGAGGAGAAGACAGACGGTGTCTGTTCTAGATACAGTCTATGGGAACGACAGAGAAAAGATAGAAAGAGGAAGAATGAGGAGAGAAGAGGAGCAGAAAGAGGAACAGGAGAGGAGGAGAGGAAGAGGAGGAGCAGGAGGACAGGAGAGGAGGAGAGGAAGAGGAGGTTTTTGACTGTATTTGATCGAAAGTTTTGGTTCAACTTTGAACTTTTTCTTTTGGAGTTTATAGCCTCCTCCTCCCGCTCCTCCTCTCCTCCTCCTGTTCTTCCTCTCCTCCACCTCCTGTTCCTCCTCTCCTCCTCCTCCCGTTCCTCCTCTCCTCCTCCTCCTGTTCTTCCTCTCCTCCTCCTCCCGCTCCTCCTCTCCTCCTCCTGTTCTTCCTCTCCTCCACCTCCTGTTCCTCCTCTCCTCCTCCTCCCGTTCCTCCTCTCCTCCTCCTCCTGTTCTTCCTCTCCTCCTCCTCCTGTTCCTCCTCTCCTCCTCCTCCTGTTCCTCCTCTCCTCCTCCACTTTCCTCCTCCTCCTCTCCTCCTCCTCTCCTCCTCCTCCTGTTCCTCCTCCTCCCATTTCCTCCTCCTCCCGCTCCTCCTCGTCCCCTCCTCTCCTCCTCCTGTTCCTCCTCCTCCCATTTCCTCCTCCTCCCGCTCCTCCTCCTCTCCTCCTCCTCACCTTAAATTTGTAGTACTCCTCACAGGAGGCATCTCCTCCTCTCCTCTCCTTCTCCCTCTCCTCCCCTCCTCCCTCTCTCCCTTCCTCCCTCTCTCCTCCCTCTCTCCTCCTCCTCCTCTCCTCCTCCTCACCTTAAATTTGTAGTACCCCTCACAGGAGGCGTCTCCTCCTCCTCCTCCTCCTCCTCTCCTCCTCCTCACCTTAAATTTGTAGTACCCCTCACAGGAGGCATCTCCTCCTCTCCTCCTCTCCTCTCCTTCTCCCTCTCCTCCTCCCTCTCTCCTCCTCTCCTCTCCTTCTCCCTCTCTCCTCCTCCTCCTCCCCCCTCTCTCCTCCTCCTCCTCCCTCTCTCCTCCTCCCCCTCCTCCCCCTCCTCCCGCACCTCCTCCTCACCTTAAATTTGTAGTACCCCTCACAGGAGGCGTCTCCTCCTCCTCCTCCTCCTCCTCTCCTCCTCCTCACCTTAAATTTGTAGTACCCCTCACAGGAGGCGTCTCCTCCTCTCCTCTCCTCCTCCCCCTCTCTCCTCCCCCTCCTCCCGCTCCTCCTCCTCCTCCTCCTCACCTTAAATTTGTAGTACCCCTCACAGGAGGCGTCTCCTCCTGTCCTCCTCCTCCTCCTTGTCTCCTCCTCTCCTCCTCCTCCCCCCCGTCTCCTCCTCCTCCTTCCTCTCCTCCTCTCCTCCTCCTCCCCCCTCCCGCTCCTCCTCCTCCTCCTCCTCACCTTAAATTTGTAGTACCCCTCACAGGAGGCGTCTCCTCCTCTCCTCCTCCTCCTCCTTGTCTCCTCCTCTCCTCCTCCTCCCCCCCGTCTCCTCCTCCTCCTTCCTCTCCTCCTCTCCTCCTCCTCCTCCCTGTCTCCTCCTCCTCCCCCCTCCCGCTCCTCCTCCTCCTCCTCCTCACCTTAAATTTGTAGTACCCCTCACAGGAGGCGTCTCCTCCTCTCCTCTCCTTCTCCCTCTCTCCTCCTCTCCTCCTCCCTCTCTCCCGCTCCTCCTCCTCCTCACCTTAAATCTGTAGTACCCCTCACAGGAGGCGTCTCCTCCTCCTTCTCCCTCTCTCCTCCTCCTCCTGCTCCTCCTCCTCCTCCTCACCTTAAATCTGTAGTACCCCTCACAGGAGGCGTCTCCTCCTCCTCCTCCCTCTCCTCCTCCTGCACCTCCTCCTCCTCCTCCTCACCTTAAATCTGTAGTAACCCTCACAGGAGGCGTCTCCTCCTCTTCCTTCTCCCTCTCTCCCCCTGCTCCTCCTCCTCCCTCTCTCCCCCTCCTCCCACACCTCCTCCTCCTCCTCCTCCCTCTCTCCCCCTCCTCCTGCACCTCCTCCTCTCCTCCTCCTCACCTTGAATTTGTAGTACCCCTCACAGGAGGCGTCTCCTCCTCTTCCTTCTCCCTCTCTCCCCCTGCTCCTCCTCCTCCCTCTCTCCCCCTCCTCCCACACCTCCTCCTCCTCCTCCTCCCTCTCTCCCCCTCCTCCCGCTCCTCCTCCTCCTCCTCCTCACCTTGAATTTGTAGTACCCCTCACAGGAGGCGTCTCCTCCTCTCCTCTCCTTCTCCCTCTCTCCTCCTCCTCCCCTCTCTCCTCCCTCTCTCCCTCTCTCCTCCCTCTCTCCCTCTCTCCTCCCTCTCTCCCTCTCTCCTCCTCTCCTCTCCTCCTCCTCCTCCTCCTCCTCACCTTAAATTTGTAGTACCCCTCACAGGAGGCGTCTCCCGTCCCGTTCAGGAAGATTTTTCCCGCCTTGTGAGCGAAGGCGTCCCAGATGCTCGCTCCTTTCCCGTCGACGTTCCACGCTCCTTCGGTCTGATAGGCGGAGCTGCCGGCGCCCCAGGAGAAACCTGCGGAGGAGGTCAGAGGTCAGCGGGTTTTCACGGCGTACCTGTCGTCGTCGTGGTCGCCGCGGTCTCACCTGTGGGGAAGGTGGCGTAGTAGAAGGACGTCTTCTCGTTCTTGGTCCAGTCAAAGTCCTCGCCGGCCGTCACACAGACGAGCAGAACGCTCTGGAGGACCTTCAGCAGCATCATGAACTCGCCGTCGTCTTCACCTGAAGGTTAAAAGACAGCTTTGAACTCTGACCTCACAGGTCACATGACTCCAGGCTGACTCTCAGAGACGCAGGTGAAGGTCTCGGCGGTCCTCCTGGTGTCTCGCCAACATCATGGAGGAGGAACCTCGTTTCAAACCCTCAGAGACAGAAAAGAGGAGGTTTGTCCAGGAGGAGGAGGAGGGAGCAAAGATCTTCAGTCCTCTGAGAGTCCTCCTGTCCAACCCTGAGCTGCTGTCTCCTGTCTCTCAGATGTCTCACCTGCTCAAACCGTCCAGAGAAGAAGAAACGTCCCCGAGCTTCTGGACCGGCTCTCCACCGCTGCTGCTGCTGCTGCTGCTGTCACCGCCGCCGCCGCCGCCGCCGCTGTGGTCAGGAGTCACAAAAACAAAAGTGAGTGAAACATCCAGGACATTCATCACACACACACACACACACACACACACACACACACACACACACACACACACACACACACACACACACACACACACACACACACACACACACACACACACACACACACACACACACACACACACACACACACACGGCTCCATTGTGTAAATCTGCTGAGCTGCACAGATTCATTCTGACCCGGTAAGCAGAGTTCATGTTAGCTGAGCCTCCATGAGCTTCTGTATGAATCCTTCATCATCATCATCATCATCATCATCATCATCATCATCATCATCGTCTTCTTCACACTGAGAGGAGCAGAAACACACACACACAGTCACATACACACATATATGTCATCTCTCAGACATCAGGCTCCTGTTTTTATTTCAGGAAGAGACGCTGAGAAAGTTCAAACGAAAACATGACAACAGGAATGATCAATACTCTCATGTGTCTCTAATGTGTCTCTCATGTCTCTAATGTCTCTAATGTCTCTCATGTCTCTCTCATGTCTCTCATGTGTCTGTAAATCCTCTAAGGTTGAAACTCTTCAGACTCAAGTTGAGGACACCTGTCCATGTCCAACCTCAGCTGTAAATTCAGGCTCACACACACACACACACACACACACACACACACACACACACACACACACACACACACACACGCGCACACACACACACGCGCACACACACACACACTCAGGGGTCATGACCTCTGCTGCGGTGAATAACACGGTAGCAGAGCTGCGTTAGAACAGCTGTTTTCTTTGTTTTCGCTCTTTTGTTGTAAAAACGCTGAAGAGTTCAAACGTCAAAACTGTTGGCACTGCACTCTGACCGTGTTACATGCTACTGTGTGTGTGTGTGTGTGTGTGTGTGTGTGTGTGTGTGTGTGTGTGTGTGTGTGTGCTCTCTGTGCATGCTCTCACTGATGTCCGGTGCATGTGTGTGTTTGTATGTTTTTTCTGCACCTGTCTGTGTGTGTGTCTGTGTGTGTCTGTGTGTGTGTCTGTGTGTGTTTAGCATATGAATGGCGTGGAGCTGCAGACTCTCTCTGAAGGTTCTGGTTCCTGCCGGCTCTCCTCTCCTTCTGTATTTAAGGGACTTTCTTTTGGCCCCGCTGAGCTGACATGAACATCTTTGCTAAGGTCCCAGGATTAGCCCAACAAACCAGGTATGTTAGAGCCGAGGGGGGGAAGGGGCCGCGCCGTCAGACCCTCCTGCTGCTTCTGCTCGCCATCACCAGTTTCCCCCAAATCACCTGAGCAGAGAGGAGACATGCAGACGTACAAATGAGTGAAAACTTTAAAAACAGTTATAAAGAGAAAGAGTCCAAACCCAAACCTCTGAGTCAGGATGTTTTTGAGACTCGGAAACGTCTCCGTCAGTTTTTCTCTCTGTTGGTGTTTTTATAACAAATGCTTCTATATCTGCAGCAAGCTGGGGTCTGTGCTCCAACGTGCCTTCTACGGGTCCAGTGGGAAGGTGAGTCTGACCACATGTGGCTTTACCTTTTTTTAGAAGAATACAGAAATCAGATGTAATTTTCTGAGCCGACAAACAGAAACATTCAAGTTAACGTGGAAACAATAAAAAGTCTAAAAAGAAGGACGACGACGGCGTGTTAATGAGGAGCAGAAACTGTTGAAACCCTGAACTGTCTTCACCTTCCTTAAAAAAACTTAAAAACTTAAAAACGACAAAAACAAAAAACAGGCGAATTTCCTGCTGCTGAGTCAGCGTTCAAGAGAAAAGAGAGAGAGAGTTTCAGGCGACGCGACGGACCAGAGAACGATGAGAAAGAAGTGAAATGACAAAGAAAAAAAAGTTAAAAATGATCCAAAGAGTCAGACTTCTGTAAATCAGCTGTAAACGAGAACAAAAATAAAGTCTTTAAAGATTCAAAATTCTGTGAGAAATAAAAGCAGAAGAAGAGAAAAGTTCTGAGAAAAAATGACGTTAAAAACTTTCAGGAAAACGTTTCAATAAAAATACATTTTCAATTTTCTCAAATCAAACCTGAAAGAACATTTTTCTCCTCCGAGGAAAAGTCTGAGATTAATTAGTCTGGAGTTTGTAAGAATGACGTTTGTTAAAAATTAAATACGACGATAAAGAAAAACAGAAACTCTGACGTAGATCTACAAACACGAAACCTTCAATTTACAAGATTTAACATTTGTGAAAAAAGAGACGCCAAGTTTTCCAGATCAAATCATTCGTTTGATTCTTAATTATAATTCATAAATCTGTGAAAAAGTCAAAAATAACATTTTAAATGAAGAAAATAAGTCGAGTTTACAGAGATGAGCTCGTAATAAATAAATCAGTCAGAAATCAATCTGAACAATTTAAGAGGAAAAGTGAAAAAATGACATTTTCTTCAATCAAGTCCGAAATGAACAACAACACAGCCGTACACACTATTAGACTTAAGTCAGACTTAAGTCAGACTTAAGTCCTAAACTGTTGGGAATAAAGTTTTAATTTACCAAAAAATCAGTGAAATTTGTTTAAAGGGATGGTCCGAACTTTCAAAAACGAAGTATTTTGGATTAAAAAAAAAATAAACAGTTTGGGGACAAAGTCATGAAGAATTAATTTAATAAAAAAAAAAAGAAGCTGTAAATTAGTAAAAATTAACTTTTAAACTTTCAGGAATAAAAAATTGTAAATGTCCGATAAATAAACACAAATATCCAAGAAAAAAATCTCAGATTAGATCGAAAGAAGTCAGTTTACGAAAACAAAGACATGACCCTTAAAAAAAGTGTCAGACTAAAATCTTAAAATAAAGTCATTAATTTTCCAGAGAAAAGCATCAATCTGTCAAATAAAGTTATAAAAAAATAAATGAATTTTTAAAATCAGAAAGTTAAAGAATTTTAATTTTACGATAAAAAAGTGATAGTTTGTAAGAATTATTTCAAGAATAAAGACATGAATTCCTGTAAATGTTCTGGAAATAAAGAAATGAATGTGTAAGACGGTGAACCTGCAGTGACTTCCATACAGAAACGTTGAATCTGGACGAGGACTCCTCAGCCGTCTCTGATGTTTGTCTGAGTCTGAGTGAGGAGGAGAAAAAACTTCAAACATGTCCGAGTCCGCGGCTGAAAAACTCAGTCTGTAACTTTTTATCATGTAAAGAGGAAAAACAGCGCCCCCTGTTGTTGGAGTCAGAGGACCTGAAGTCTGATGAACTGTAGACCTGATTTTTGTGGTGATGTTTGTGGACTCAGGTGACCCTGTTCGAGCAGAGGAACTTCACCGGCCGGCGGCTCGAGCTGAGCTCTGACTGCACCAGACTCAGCGACAAGAACTTCCCAGAGAGATGCAACTCAGTGCAGGTGGAGAGCGGAGCGTGAGTGAAGGGCGCCACCTGCAGGAGAGCAAGGGGCACTGCAACAAACACACATAAGAAAACACATACGCACGTTATACACACACACAAACACACTTCAAACACAAACACACATTACACACACACATTAAACACAAACACACATTAAACACACACATTACACACACATTAAACACACACACATTAAACACACACATTACACACACACACACACACACATTGAACACACACACAGCTCTGCAAAGACGGAGTCTGAACTTTGAGAGAAAACGACTCGATGAATCTTTGATCTTCTGTTCTTCATTCGAGACTTTAGAGGACAGAAGATCTCAAACCTCCTCAGATCCACAGACATGAAGACCTGCAGCCGTCCAAGAACTGAATAAAAATGTACCTTTAAAGGGATATTCTGCTGTAAAACTAATTCAGGGTCAAACCCACCGTAACCCCGAGTTAGACCCCGCCCCCTCCAGAGATGAATGTTGTCGACCGCTTCCTTCTCTAGTTATACCAACTTTAGTAACGACCGCAGGATAGAAATACAGAGAGGTCTGAGGAGCCATAAACAAACCTCAACCAACCTGTTTGTAGTGAGACCTCAGGCCAGTCCATTAGGGACTACAGCGGGGTGAAATGATCATAAATGTTCTTCCTTGAGCTGCGGCACCCCGCTGTAGTCCGTGATGGAAAGTTGGTGTAACTAGAGAAGGAAGCGGTCGACAACATTCATCTCTGGAGGGGGCGGAGTCTAACTCGGGGTTACGGTGGGTTTGACCCTGAATTAGTTTTACAGCAGAATGTCCCTTTAACGCTGAGGCGGTATTATTACAGATGAACAGACTCTCAGCGGCTGTAAATGAACAGGACCGGTTCTGTCCTGATGTTTGGGTCCAATCCGGTTCAGACTCTTGTGTTCCTGGTCTTTCACAGGTGGGTGGGTTACGAGCATGAGAACTTCCGGGGCCGTCAGTACCTGTGGGACATGTCCGACCGAGGAGAGTACAACTGTTACGATAAATGGTGCGCCCAGGCCGACCACGTGTCCTCGGTCCGCGCCGTCAAACAGGTGAATCCACTTTAACCTTTAACCCAGCAGACCAGAGACCAGGGTCTCCTTAGTCCTGGTTTTGGGGTCCTGATGGTCCAAATGTTTTCAATGTGGGACAAGTCAGGACTGCATCAGTCCAGTTCCTCAGTAGGACTCTTCTCCTACAGAACCATGCTGGTGTCAGAATGTGGTTCTGGATCATATGAAGGTCTTCCCTGGTCTGGATGGACGCAGATGTTCCTCCTAAACCTGGAGATCTTGTTGGAACCTTCACAGACGTGGACTCTGATGATCCCAGACCATCAGAGATTCTAGATTTGGACCGGGAACTCTGACTCTCAGGAACTTTATTCTGAAACTGTTGAACTGTTCGCTAACGTGGTCCCTCACAGAGTCCCGAACCTCTGAGAGACTCCGCCCCTCGTCTTAGACCTGGTCATGTGACTAACCTGTTGGACCTCCAATCTGGTTCATCCGTTAATTTCTTCTTCTTTCAGGACAATAATCCGGCCAGAGCTCAGCTGTACGAGCGCGCCGGTTTCTCTGGGAAGAAGATCGAAGTTCAGGACGACGTTCCGAACCTGATGAGTCGGCACAGTCTCAACCGAGTCGCCTCCATCCGTGTTCTTGGAGGAGCGTAAGTCCAACATCTGAAGGGGGGGGCGGCGGTCAGACCTGAACCCCTCACTGGATTTCAGAACCATTTCTATCATCAGTCTCTCTGCAGATTATCATCACAGATTATAATCTCAGATTATCATCCCAGATTATAATCTCAGATTATCATCACAGATTATAATCTCAGATTATCATCCCAGATTATAATCTCAGATTATCATCCCAGATTATAATCTCAGATGATCATCACAGATTATAATCTCAGATTATCATCCCAGATTATAATCTCAGATTATTATCCCAGATTATAATCTCAGATGATCATCCCAGATTTAGTCAAATTTGAGGAAACGAGAGACTGACTCACCTCAAACCAAAACAAAAAGGGTCTCCTGAGCCTCGGTCCAGACCGCTCTGATTCTTTGAGTCTGTCAGTCGTGATAATCCCACGGTAATCCAGCTCCACCTGAACCTTTTATTCTGAGACACTCGACTATAAACAGAGTCGGAGGACATGAGACGTTTTTCTCATGAACCTTCAATTTACTTCAAATCCACAAAAACCCAAAATATGAGACGAGACAAACCGATAATCACGATGTTCGCTAACACGACGTTAAAACAGGAACGCCAACGCTGTGTGTGTGTGTGTGTGTCGGTGTTCAGGTGGGTGGTGTATCAGGAGCCGAACTACAGAGGACCTCACTACATCCTGGAGAAGAAAGACTACAACAACTTCTCCGACTGGGGCAGCCAACACAACACCGTGGGATCCATGCGCCGAGTCCGCTTCAACTGAAGACCACCTGAGACCACCTGAGACCACCTGGGTCCACCTGAGACCACCTGAGACCTGTCAGCATTAAGAACTCCACACACCTATTTTAGTAATAAACTCTGAAAAGACAAGTGTGTGTTTCTGTTCCTTCAGGTGAGATTGAACTCTTATTAATGTGTGAGACGTTTAAAACCTTTTAAAGCTCCACTCAGGAGTTTTAGCTGCTCAAAGTTTTTCTTTATCAACACAAAGAAAAAAAAAACACATTTACTGAAAGTCTGAAACTAAGATCACCAGGGAAGGTTTCAGTGGAAATAAAAGACGCGAAAATAGAAATGTGGTAAATATAAAAAAGTTCCTCAAAAAAGAAAAAACTTGAATTCTGAGATTAAAGTGAAAATTACTGATTAAAGATTTCTGAGATTAAACATCCACTAATGAGAAAACGGTGATGATGTTTCAGAGATCGAGGTCCATTCCTCATCATCTTCCCCCAACTGCTGCTCGTCACTCGTCTCTGATCGTCGTGTTGACGACATTTTCAATGAGCCAAAAAAACAAACAAACAAACAAAGAAACAAACAAACAAAGAAACAAACAGACAAACAAACAAACAAACAAACAAAAAAACAAACAAACAAACAAAGAAACAAACAGACAAACAAACAAACAAACAAACAAACAGACAAAAACAAAGAAACAAAGAAACAAACAAACAATCAAACCTAAAACATTTTATTTAAAAAGGACAAAATCAAAATCACAGAAATCCATGAAAATAAAAACGAGGTTTCTGCTGAACGAGGAACCTGCTCCGATCAAAAATGATAAAAAGTTTTTGTTAAAACGGGTGCAAGTCTTCTTCTCCTCCTCCTCCTCAGGAGCATGTCTTCTCCTCCTCCTCCTCCTCCTCCTCCTCAGGAGTGTGGGTCTAAAATAAAGTGCGAGTGAAAAGTCCTCTGACACCATGAAGAACATCTCAGGGTCTGAGCAGAGCGGCCGCCAGGTTCTGGACCGTGGAGGACTTGAGCTGAGGGATCAGGCTGATCTTCAGCAGTTTGCTGCTGGAGTATTTGTTCCTCACCGCCTGAAGACCAACAAGTTTGAAGATGGAGTTAGAATCAGAGAAGATGACTGAGTCTGTTTGTTTTAGATCTATACTGACCTGGAATTTGGTTTTTCCCTCGTTGACCGTCACCACGTTCTTGGCCATGTGCTGCATGATGGGCTTCAGGTGAACCTCGTCATACGTGGAGTAATGCTGCTGAGTGGGAGACTGAAACACAGAGGAACGTCAGGAGAACAGAGGAACATCAGAGGAACGTCAGGAGAACATCAGAGGAACGTCAGGAGAACATCAGAGGAACGTCAGGAGAACATCAGAGGAACATCAGGAGAACATCAGAGGAACGTCAGGAGAACATCAGAGGAACGTCAGGAGAACGTCAGAGGAACATCAGAGGAACGTCAGAGGAACATCAGAGGAACGTCAGAGGAACGTCAGGAAAACATCAGAGGAACGTCAGGAGAACGTCAGGAGAACATCAGAGGAACGTCAGGAGAACGTCGGGAGAACATCAGAGGAACATCAGGAGAACATCAGAGGAACGTCAGGAGAACATCAGAGGAACATCAGGAGAACATCAGAGGAACGTCAGAGGGGGACAAAGACACATTAACCCTCTGCAGAGAGAGACTGAAACACAGTTTTCCTAAAACACTCAGATTGTGGTTTTCAGGTTTCAAACACGCCGCGGCGAGGAGCCGCCGTGTCGACCTTCAACAAGAACAAAGACTCTGAAGTGGTTTTGGTTTCACTCACCCAGGAGAGACCGTCCAGCAGACGCTGGGACAGACAGAGGGCAGCTGCGGCGATCTCCGAGGGTCGATAGTTAACCATGTGGTAGTCGACGAGGGTCAGCTCCATCAGGTATTTGGCCAGAGTGTGGCGCTCTACATCAGACTGACACACAAACACACAGACAGTCCCTCTGAAAAACAGCAGAACTTTGACCGATCCGTTTGGGTCGAACCGATCGGTCTGAAGGACTTTAAAGCTGTTAACTGCTCTCACAAAGTCTGACAGGAAACCGTCTCGGGGACACTCACATTCGCCACCTTTGACGCCCGTCGGAGGAAGTGCAGAGGAAGAGGACGGCCGAGCTGGAAGTTGAGGCTCCTCAGAAGCAGCTGCTCCATCTCCAGGATCTGAGACTTGGTGAAGGCGTTGTCTGTGATGTAGGCGAAGTCTCCCACCTCTGGAGCGTACATCTCCTCGTATTTACACGCCACCAGCATGGCGGTGACCCCGACCAGCTGCAGCTTCCTGGGAGAGACCGGCTGGACCTGCGGAGAGAGAGAGAGACTCAGCTGATGATAAAGAGAAGAAGAAGAAGAGCAGGTGAGACGGTCCTCCTCACCTGCAGGAACCGGTCCAGGACGGCCACAGTGAGGTACAGAGTCTCCTGCAGCAGCTGGAACCTGGAGTGGACCTGGACCAGCCAGTCCACCAGCAGAGCCCTCATCCGCTCCGTGATCTCGTAACCCTGCATGTAGTTCGCTCGGACGACCTGCTGCTCCTGAGGAAACAGACAGACAGACGGACGCGCTTTAAAGAGGAGGACCCGGGTCAGAGCGGGTCACCTGATCCGGCGGCGGCGGCAGAAATCACCTCCAGGACGCGCAGATACTTGTAGATATCTTTGACGTATTCGGAGCAGAGCTGCGGCTGGTCGGCGTCCTCCTCGTCCACGTCCTGCACGGCGAGCAGCGCCTCAGAGAAGGCCTGACACAGCTGCTCCTCCTCCTTCATGGACACGTCAGCTGACTCCTCTGAGACTGAGGGGAGGGGCTCTGCAGGAGCCAGGACCTGAACCGCTGGAGCCGGGACCTCCTGGACCGACGGGGGTTTGGACCTTTGGGTACCAGACGGTTTGGCAGAGGGTTTGACTCCGAGAGTTTTCTGAGGAACCAAAGACAGAAGACCTGTGAGGTCCAGGGCGGAGGAAGCAGCTGCAGGTTTTTCACTAAAACAGTTTTAAAAATATATTTTAAATGTTTTTAAGGAACATCTAAACAAACTCTTCTCTAAAATCTTCATTATTTCAGAAACTCAAAAAAACTGACAGTTTATAAAAAACACAGAATCATTAAAAACACATCAACTAAAGTGTGTCGATAAAGACTGCAGGGGGCGCTGCAGAAAACAGCTTTATTATCATTATTATTAATAAAGGTTCTTCTTTCTTGACATTTTTTAATGTTTCTGATTTTCAGCCTCACAGTTAACAAAGTTTTTAAAATGTTTTAAAGTTTTAAGTCTTTACAGAATCTCAATTCAACAATAAAATCAGGTTTAAAATCCATTTTTATATTTTCCTCATTCAGACCTGCTGCCTCAGCATCCAACCCTCTACAGCTGTTTATAGAAAAACTACAGTATCATACTATTTTATAGATAAATACTATATTATACTATTTTATAAATAAACACTATAGTATTATACTATTTTATAAATAAATACTATATTATTATACTATTTTATAAATAAACACTATAGTATTATACTATTTTATAAATAAATACTATATTATTATACTATTTTATAAATAAACACTATAGTATTATACTATTTTATAAATAAATACTATAGTATTATACTATTTTATATATAAATACTTCTCTAACAAATATGTCAGGATATTCAGCAGAACTTTTGACATTAAATATTTTAAATCATAAAACAGTTTCTGTTGGATGTCCAAGATCAAATATCAGCTCCAGTGTAACTTTAATAAAACTGTCGTTAAATTAAATTTATAAAAACCACATATTAATTTATTCAACCAGAAAGACGTGAAGCTCTAATTCTGAGGTTTAGAGTCTCTAAAGTTCATCATAAACATGTTTTAGAGTAAAATTATCAGAAAAACTCTTTAAAAAATCAAAATTCAGGAGGTTCTGAGAGTCTTTGGGTCACCTTAGTGTTGGTGTGGACAGAACCACAGTTGGTGATGTCTCCCAGAACCGCCTTCCTCGGACCTGCAGCTGTAGTTTTCGTGTTTTTAAGCATTTTTACCGGATTCTCCGCAGCTGAAACCTGCTGAAAAAGGATAAAGACAGAACAGAAGATAAAACCACATGTTCAGGACTTTAACATCTGTAAAATAAAGTTATTAATGATCATTTTTATTGTTATTTTATGTGATTAAAGAGCAGAACACCGAGCACAGGGCTGTAAGGTTAGCTAACAGAGCTAGCGAGCTACTCTACCAACAACAAAAATACGTTTTAAGAGCCTCAAACTCGGAAATAAACTCAGAAAACTCACCGCAGCACGAGCCTGAAAGGCCGACATGTCTTAATGTGGGACTAAACTGTGAATAAAATCCAAAACAAGCAGGAAAAGTGTCGGAAAAGACCTTTGGACGCTGATCTCTGAAAGTAAACAGGAAGACTGAGCAGCAGGAGCATCTTTCAAATAACGCTCTGTGAAATCTGATTGGTCGAGAGGACAGGAGGACGCTCCTGATTGGCTAACAATGTGGGATCAACGGTAGGACAGTTAAGAGACGTTTTCATGAAACTAATAAAACTAAAATATAAAAACGATGAAACTGTTTCTACTAAACAGAGAGAAGGAAGAGAAACAAACACCGATTTTAAATTTTTTACTCATTTATTTAAGAACTGTTGTTTTTATTTTACTGTCCATCTGTTTAATGAGAGTAAAATTAATCCCCTTTATAAATTATTTTACCTTCAAAAAAGCTTAATTTTAATGTTACAGTAATACAGTTATATTTTAGAGAATTTTTAAAACTTAATATGAAGTTATTTTATGAACTTTAATTAACTTTATTCCTATTTAGAAGTTAAATCAGATTTATATTTATTTATTTATTCTTTTGAAAATAAAAACATCTTTTCTTCTCATAGTTTATGAAGCATTTATTGGGGACGTGCAGTAATACTGTCAAATAATCACTTCATATTTCAAAAATCACAGTTATTGATTGAAAATTAATTAATTAAATTAAATTTGTGTTCCTCATTTAGAGATAAATCTTTTTTTGACTCATTTCTACTTTAACCTGGTTCCTTCCATCGACTGTATATAGAAGTATAGTATATACAGTCTATATATATCAATCTCTATATCTATATAGATATATAAACGTGGTATTTACAGTCTATGGTTCCTTCCTTTTAAATTGGATCCCAAAGACAATAAACTGTGTTCCTGTAGTTCTTTGTGTGTTTTGTCCTCGTGGAGTTTCCGTACCTTCATATGACTCATTATTGTCTCTATGATGAGAAAATGTCGATAATTCAGACAATGACTGGATTTTATAAACTGATAAAATGATGATCTCTGTTTTTCACTCCAGATGCAGGACCACAACATCTTTTTTCAGGTCTGAACTGTTTCCTGGCATAATTCTGAGAAAAATGAGAGAATTTCAGAAAACAAGTCAGAATAAAATAAAAAAAAAAACAGTAATGGTGATATTTTCTCATAACTCTGAAATTTACGTCCAAATTTTTAAAATAAATAAATAAATAAACCTCCGTTTCATCTCAGTGGCCCTAATTCAGTATAACATTAGAAGAAACAAAGATCTCGAAGGCTACACAAAAACTGTAAGAATGAAATGACAGACTCTTATTTTGAAAAGTTTTTCTGTTGTAGCCATAGACTGAATAAAGAATATGCACACATATACATACAGTCTATAGTGTATACAGTCTATAGTGTATACAGTCTATGGTTTTAGCACGAAGGTTTCATGCTGAGAAGGTTTCGAGCTGAAATCAAAGAAAAGGTTTCACACCGACACAAAAACATTTATTCACAAGTTTCCTTTAAGAAGAATCGCTGAGGCTCGGCCCGAGGATAACGGGACAGAAATCAAAACAGTCACCCTTATAAATGTTACAGTAGCTATAACCCTGACTGACTGAGTTACTGACTGACCGATTTACTGATTGACTGATTTACTGACTGACTGATTCACTGACTGACTGACTGATTTACTGACTGTCCGTCTGACTGATTTACTGACTGACTGTGTGTCTGCATTTTCTTGGAACAGGATTTAATGTAAATAAACCAGATTTATAATTTTCAAATCAGTCCTGTCCTTCTTTTTGTTATATGAGAATTATCTGCAGACTCGATGATCAGGAGGAACGACTGTTTTCAGAGGAAATGAGAGAAAAACACAGAGTGAGGTTTGAGTTTTTGACAGCTTCGAAACCACGTCTTTCTGCTGCCGCCTCCCCATCAATCAGACCAGGCTGAGGTTCTGCAGAACCTCTGGGTCCACAAACTGCTTCATCTGTGGAGATGCAGATGTGTTGGTATCAGCAGCTCTAGTTTGTTATGAAGTGATTTTAATTTTTCAGAATTTTGTTGTTTTTATTGCATATAAAACAGATTTACATTTTCAGACCAAAGTAACCGACTAACAAACTCAGAATTATCTTTGTGGGACTTCAGGGGATCCAGCTCTGGATCTGAACCGTCATTCTTCACTATAAAAAAAAAAATCACTGAGTTTTTTTTTTCTTTTTTCCGGACGCAGAGCTGAGGACTTCTTCGACAGTCTGTGAACGTCGTCAGTTTCATCAGTTTCCATTTTGGTTCATCTGCAGAAACTCGTTGTGCAGTTTTTCCTGGGCCTCGTAGAGTTTCCGAAGTTTCTTGGCTTGACCTTTGCTGAGCTCTTTTCCTTCAGCGTCATGAGTCGGGAAACCCTGAACACAACATCAGAAAGAAAGACACTATTTCTGCTCTGAACAAGAACATTTTCGTTTCACAGCATCTAGGGCTTAAAACTGAAAACTGTCCTGTTTCATATAAAGGCCTGTTTCATATAAAAGCCTATTTTATATAAAGGGCCTGTTTCATATAAAGGTCTGTTTCATATAAAGGCCTGTTTTATATAAAGGGTCTGTTTCATATAAAGGCCTGTTTCATATAAAGGTCTGTTTCATATAAAGGCCTGTTTTATATAAAGGCCTGTTTCATATAAAGGCCTGTTTTATATAAAGGGCCTGTTTTATATAAAGGTCTGTTTCATATAAAGGTCTGTTTCATATAAAGGCCTGTTTTATATAAAGGGCTGTTACATATAAAGGCCTGTTTTATATAAAGGTCTGTTTCATATAAAGGATTGTTTTATATAAAGGGCTGTTTCATATAAAGGCCTGTTTCATATAAAGGGCCTGTTTCATATAAACGGTCTGTTTCATATAAAGGCCTGTTTTATATAAAGGTCTGTTTCATATAAAGGGCCTGTTTCATATAAACGGTCTGTTTCATATAAAGGGCTGTTTCATATAAAGGCCTGTTTTATATAAACAGTCTGTTTCATATAAAGGCCTGTTTTATATAAAGGGCTGTTTTATATAAAGGCCTGTTTTATATAAAGGCCTGTTTCATATAAAGGCCTGTTTTATATAAAGGCCTGTTTCATATAAACAGTCTGTTTCATATAAAGGGCTGTTTCATATAAAGGCCTGTTTCATTTAAAGACCTGTTTCATATAAAGGGCCTGTTTCATATAAACGGTCTGTTTCATATAAAGGCCTGTTTTATATAAAGGTCTGTTTCATATAAAGGGCCTGTTTCATATAAACGGTCTGTTTCATATAAAGGGCTGTTTTATATAAAGGCCTGTTTCATATAAAGGGCTGTTTTATATAAAGGTCTGTTTCATATAAAGGCCTGTTTTATATAAAGGTCTGTTTCATATAAAGGGCCTGTTTCATATAAACGGTCTGTTTCATATAAAGGCCTGTTTTATATAAAGGCCTGTTTCATATAAAGGGCTGTTTTATATAAAGGCCTGTTTTATATAAACAGTCTGTTTCATATAAAGGCCTGTTTTATATAAAGGCCTGTTTCATATAAAGGCCTGTTTCATATTTAGGTCTGTTTCATATAAAGGCCTGTTTCATATAAAGGCCTGTTTTATATAAAGGCCTGTTTCATATTTAGGTCTGTTTCATATAAAGGGCCTGTTTCATATAAAGGGCCTGTTTCATATAAAGGGCCTGTTTCATATAAAGAGCCTGTTTCATATAAAGAGCCTGTTTTATATAAAGAGCCTGTTTCATATAAAGGCCTGTTTCATATTAAGGTCTGTTTCATATAAAGGGCCTGTTTCATATAAAGGGCCTGTTTCATATAAAGGCCTGTTTCATGTAAAGAGCCTGTTTCATATAAAGGCCTGTTTCATATAAAGGCCTGTTTTATATAAAGGCCTGTTTCATATAAAGGCCTGTTTCATATAAAGGGCCTGTTTCATATAAAGGGCCTGTTTCATATAAAGAGCCTGCTTCATATAAAGGGCCTGTTTCATATAAAGGCCTGTTTTATTTAAAGGCCTGGGACCTCCTGCAGTCAAAGTAAATTAAGAATCCGGACATTCTCAGTAGTCAAAACTCCATTTTTAAATTATTCAGTAGTGTTATAAACTTCATGGTGGTCACTCAAGCTTCTCTCTGTCTACTGAACATGGTGGGACTGTGGACTGTGGAGGTCCAGATGAAGTCCTCCACAGAACAGGGACCACAGACTCTTTTCCTCCTCGGTCTCTTTCTCGGATTCGTAACTTTTAAAAAAGTAAAAACTGCTCGTTTGTTTTTGGACGTTTATCCAAATGGACAGTTTCAGGAAACAGAAGATTTACCGTCTCGTCAAACTGGGAGAACTTGTCCGTCTCCGTACGAAACATTTCCGATGGAGAGATCTTCATCTTGGCGAGTTTGGCCATCTAGAGCAGAAACAGATCAAAAAAACGTGAAGATGACGATTTGATCAGAGAAGAAGAACGACAGAAGTGATGAATTATGGGAAACCTCTTGTTCTTGTTTCTTCTTGGCGGCCTCTTCCTTCTTCTTCTTCTTCTCTTCCTCCATCTGCAGAAAAAAATCCACACAGAACCTCAGAGAAGAAACCCGAACCCGAGTCTCCTTACCGGACTCTTTTTCTCTGGACCTGACCCGTTATTGATCACAGACAGGGAGCAGACCAATAAATCAATCATGTGATCGGGTCTCAGAACTGATCGTTCAGCAGAATCAAGATTCTGTTAGTCAAACTTCAAACTGGACCAGAACCGAAAAATCCACAGAGGGAAACTCGTGTCTGGTCCTGCTGAAGGTTTCTGCCTGTTGAAGGAAGTTCTTGTCTCTTCTTCTCCTTCTCCTCCTCTTCCTCCTTCTTCATTTTCTCCTCCTCCTCTCTCCTTCTCCTCCTCCTCCTCCTTCTTCCTCTTTCTCCTCCTCCCTAACTTCATAAATTCTGTTCTTCGCTCCTCCCGGTTTCAGGCGGGTCAGATCTGGACCTTTGGTAATCTGAGAGTCTGGTCTGGACCTGATCTTCTGGATTGTTGAGATTTGGTGACAGATCAATAAAAATTGATTGATTGATTGATTTTCGTGTTTCCTCCTCACCTTCTTCTTCTCCTCTCTCTCCTTCAGTAACGTCTCCTTGTCCACCAGCTTCACCACCGTAGGGAGACCTGAACACAGAGCCGCAGATTTAGTCGAACCCTCGTCAGAGCGAGAACGCCGCTCTGTTTTTTTTTCGTAAACAACGTTCAGATTTAGTTTAGTTTAAAAAAAGGCTCCACAGCGCCACCATCAGTTCAACAGAGCCACATGTACGGGGGCAGACACGTGGTTAAGGTCCAACCTTCACAGCGCCCCGCTGTGGACACTCAGGGTACTGACTTTAACTCTTACCTTCATGGTCCTCCAGTCGGACTCCAAGTTCTGGTAACGTGTCGTCACGGACCGAGTCACAGAGCTGCAGCAACGGGGTCACTGGAAGACAAGAGGAACGGGTTTTGGACCAGGACTCAGAGACTGGACCAGGACTCAGAGACTGGACCAGAGTCTGGACCAGGACTCAGAGACTGGACCAGGACTCAGAGTCTGGACCAGGACTCAGAGACTGGACCAGAGTCTGGACCAGGACTCAGAGACTGGACCAGGACTCAGAGACTGGACCAGGACTCAGAGACTGGACCAGAGTCTGGACCAGGACCCAGAGACTGGACCAGGACTCAGAGTCTGGACCAGGACCCAGAGACTGGACCAGGACTCAGAGTCTGGACCAGGACTCAGAGACTGGACCAGGACTCAGAGACTGGACCAGAGTCTGGACCAGGACCCAGAGACTGGACCAGGACTCAGAGACTGGACCAGGACCCAAAGACTGGACCAGGACTCAGAGACTGGACCAGAGTCTGGACCAGGACTCAGAGACTGGACCAGGACTCAGAGACTGGACCAGGACCCAAAGACTGGACCAGAGTCTGGACCAGGACTCAGAGACTGGACCAGGACTCAGAGACTGGACCAGGACCCAAAGACTGGACCAGGACTCAGAGACTGGACCAGGACTCAGAGACTGGACCAGGACCCAAAGACTGGACCAGGACTCAGAGTCTGGACCAGAGTCTGGACCAGGACTCAGAGACTGGACCAGGACTCAGAGACTGGACCAGGACTCAGAGTCTGGACCAGAGACTGGACCAGGACTCAGAGACTGGACCAGGACTCAGAGACTGGACCAGGACCCAGAGACTGGACCAGGACTCAGAGACTGGACCAGAGTCTGGACCAGGACTCAGAGACTGGACCAGGACTCAGAGTCTGGACCAGGACCCAGAGACTGGTCCAGGACCCAAAGACTGGACCAGGACTCAGAGTCTGGACCAGGACTCAGAGTCTGGACCAGGACCCAAAGACTGGACCAGGACTCAGAGTCTGGACCAGGACCCAGAGACTGGACCAGGACTCAGAGACTGGACCAGGACCCAAAGACTGGACCAGGACCCAAAGACTGGACCAGGACTCAGAGTCTGGACCAGAGTCTGGACCAGGACTCAGAGTCTGGACCAGGACTCAGAGACTGGACCAGGACTCAGAGTCTGGACCAGGACCCAAAGACTGGACCAGGACTCAGAGACTGGACCAGGACCCAAAGACTGGACCAGGACCCAAAGACTGGACCAGGACTCAGAGTCTGGACCAGGACTCAGAGACTGGACCAGGACCCAAAGACTGGACCAGGACCCAAAGACTTGACCAGGACTCAGAGTCTGGACCAGGACTCAGAGACTGGACCAGGACCCAAAGACTGGACCAGAGTCTGGACCAGGACTCAGAGTCTGGACCAGGACTCAGAGTCTGGACCAGAGTCTGGACCAGGACTCAGAGTCTGGACCAGAGTCTGGACCAGGACTCAGAGACTGGACCAGGACTCAGAGTCTGGACCAGGACTCAGAGACTGGACCAGGACCCAAAGACTGGACCAGGACTCAGAGACTGGACCAGGACTCAGAGACTGGACCAGGACTCAGAGTCTGGACCAGGACTCAGAGACTGGACCAGGACTCAGAGTCTGGACCAGGACCCAAAGACTGGACCAGGACCCAAAGACTGGACCAGGACTCAGAGACTGGACCAGGACTCAGAGTCTGGACCAGGACCCAAAGACTGGACCAGGACCCAAAGACTGGACCAGGACTCAGAGTCTGGACCAGGACTCAGAGACTGTACCAGGACCCAAAGACTGGACCAGGACTCAGAGTCTGGACCAGGACCCAGAGACTGGACCAGGACTCAGAGACTGGACCAGGACCCAAAGACTGGACCAGGACTCAGAGTCTGGACCAGGACTCAGAGACTGGACCAGGACTCAGAGTCTGGACCAGGACTCAGAGTCTGGACTCAGAGTCTGGACCAGGACTCAGAATCGTGAAAACATTGAAAACATCAGAGTTCGTCTTTCTTCTCACCTTTCTGCTCTCGGGCGATTTTTCGGACGTTTTCTCTGAACTCTGAGAGAACGGTGAGGTACGGCATGACGGTGTTCTCCAGCTGAAGGAGGAGAAGAAGAAGAAGAAGAAGAAGAAGAAGAAGAAGAAGAAGAAGAAGAAGAAGAAGAAGAAGAATGTGGATTTATTTTATTTTATTGTTTGTTTAAAAAACTAAAGAAAATCTTCTGGACCTTCACGTTCACTACAAGAATATTTAAAGAATATCGAACTCACTCGTTACACTTCCTGTAGATTTCTGACTTCAGAAAAGTTTTTTAATTTTATTAAAAACAGAAAAAAATAAGTTGGTTGATTTTGACTCACGTCGACGTTTTGTCCTCTTTGTCCTCCGACTGGGAAACCGATGGATTCAGATTCTTCGATGGACCCAAATACCTGAAAATAAAACCCACAGAAGACTCAGATCAGGGTCCAGGGGCAGCCGACCCAGATCTTAACTTCAGGAACCTGACCCCAGGACCAGGAACCTGAACCCGGGACCAGGAACCTGAACCCGGGACCAGGAACCTTTGGGTGGCAGGTCTGACTTCAAACCTGGATCTAAACTAAACATCTCCACCTTATTGAACCACATTAACCTGAAAAAAATCAAACTAAACTTTATTTATAAAAACCTTTTATTACAAAAAAAATATAATATGACTGTGAACCGATCAGACGTCAATAACCGGAGACTGAAAATAACTGTTTAATACTCTGTGTACCTGTATATAAATACTGCGTATACAGATACTGTGTATATAGATCCTGCGTATATAGATACTGCGTATATAGATACTGCGTATATAGATACTGCGTATATAGATACTGTGTATATAGATACTGTGTATATAAATACTGCGTATATAGATACTGCGTATATAGATACTGCGTATATAGATACTGCGTATATAAATACTGTGTATATAGATACTCCGTATATAGATACTGCGTATATAGATACTGCGTATATAGATACTGTGTATATAGATACTGTGTATATAGATACTGCGTATATAAATACTGCGTATACTCTCCTAAAGTCGAATGATATAGAACAGACGACCTCCTCTTCTCTGAACTTTATTCTTAAACTTTCTTCACTTTGTAAAAAACTTTATTTTTCATGTTTTGCACTTTTGTTGTTTCTGATTTATTCTAATTTGAGTTTTATTCTCTTTCTCATCAGCTGACAGGAAGCAGATCTCCTGACCTCCTTATATGGGCGTGGATTTAAACTGACGTAGGACTAACAGGAGCGTTCCCTCAAACCTGCTGCTGAGAGAAACTCGGAGTTTTCGAATGTTCGGGTTTTTATGAGCACGTCCAAAAACAGACCGACAAACATTTCCTGAATTCGACTTCCTGGAAGTTCATCATCGTAAAAATAATACTGATAAAAACACTGAGGCCTTCTTTATCTGTTAGCCTTCCTGACTTCTTCATCCCGCTTCATCACCTTCAGCATGTTGGTCAGATACACGGCGACGCTCTCCACCAGCAGGCGGTTGGGTCTCAGCTTGGCGCTCTTCCTGTTGGCGATGTAACTGTTACTCTGACCGACCAGGAGTCTCATCTCCTCCATGGCCGTGCGAGTGTCCACGTTATCGCACAGAGCCTCGTGGACGGCGGCCTTTCTGTCGTAGAAACTGGACAAAAACACGCCGGAGTGAAAAGGTGACGATCTTACCTGCTCAGAGGATTTTTCTGTACCTCCTCAGATGTTTCCTAAACGACAGTCTGAGAAGAAGGACACCTGGAAACTCTCACCTGTGGTTCAGCTCCATCTCTGCTGCCTCCCACTTCTCAAACTGCCCGGTGATGTCGGTGGGAGTTCGCAGGATGTCTTTGACGTTCAAGAAGAACTCCTTTGAAGACAGAAGAGACGGTTAAAGGAGAAGAAGAAGAAGAAGAAGAAGAAGAAACCTTCAGCTTTGTAAGGATCCTCCGTCTGACACCCACGTTCATGAACTTCTCATACTGGACCGCTGACTCCATGGTGTTGGAGGAATAGTCCAGCGTGTCTTTCCAGGAATGCATCAAGAAAGCGAGACGAAGCTGCCGAGCTGCAGGACGAGAAAACGACGAAAAAAAACACGTTAAAGAAGATCGGAGTTTACGTCAAAAACTGAGTCTGAGAAGAAGAAGAAGAAGGTCCGATTCAGATTTAAAACCAAACAGACGAAGAAGAAACGAGTTCAGATCTGAAGATCCAGGTTCATGATCCTCAGCTCTACAGTGGACCTTAGTGAACCCAGCAGACCAGGTTCTGTAGACCTTAGAGAACCCAGCAGACCAGGTTCTCTAAGATCTAACAGAACCCAGCAAACCAGGTTCTGGACTCTGACAGTCAAATCCGGTCCCTGAAAGAGGCTCTCAACTGTTCAGGGTCTCCTTGGTCCTGGTTTTGGGGTCCTGATGGTCCAAATGTTTTCAATGGGGGACAAGTCAGGACAACTTTGGACCTGTTTGGTTGTTCCTCTATCAGAACTTTGGACCTCAATATGGTGGGAACACCTTAAGAGGTTCTGAGGTCCTTTTCCGTCTCGTCAGACCGACTCTCACGTCTGAAGACAGATGGATCCATCCTGTGTCCAACAGAACCAGAGGAGACCCACCTGTGTTCTTGGCCAGAGCGTCTTTGATGGTGATGAAGTTCTTCAGAGATTTGGACATCTTACAGCCGGCGATGGTCAGGTGACCCGTGTGCAGGAAGTATCGGACCCAGTGATCGTTCTGGAAGAACGCCTGAGAAGAAAGAAGAAGAAACAGAACCGTAAGAAGAACTATTCTCCTAAAGAACGAAGAGGCCAAAGTTCTGGTTCTTTACCTCGGACTGGGCCAGCTCGTTGTCGTGGTGAGGGAACCGGAGGTCGAACCCTCCTCCGTGGATGTCCATGGACTCTCCTAAGATGGACCCGGCCATCGCAGAACATTCAATGTGCCAGCCGGGCCGACCCTGTTACAACACAGGGAGGAACCAGAACCGATCAGAACCGCATCAATCAATCATCTCTAAAACAGTTCTGCTTCTTCTCAGACTCTGGTTCTGGTTGAAGGAACTTCAGAAAGTTGGACCTCAGACTCGGACAGGACCGGCGCTCTCTCACCTTCCCCCACGGCGAGTCCCACGACGGTTCTCCGGGTTTGGACGCCTTCCAGAGGGCGAAGTCGTTCGGCGACTTCTTCTCACTCAGTCTGTCAGCGGAGACGCTCAGGTCGCCTAGGAGACGGAGGGGGGGGGGAGAGAACGCCACGATGGACGAACAGAAACTGTTTGTCCATGAAAGTGAACATATCCGAGACCATCAGTGTCATCGTCAGAATCAGAACCGGGGAACCCACCTTCTCCTTCCTGTAGGGCCTTCTGGTCTCCCACGGCCTCTGGGACCAGTTTGGCGTAAGAGTGCTGCGGACTGGAGTCAAACTTGGCGGTGTCGAAGTACACGGAGGCGTTTGATTCGTACCTGAAAACACGAGGAAATCCAAAGTGACCTTCGGACCTTCAGGACCCTCAGGACCTTCAGGACCTTCAGGACCTTCAGGACCCTCAGGACCGTTTGGACCTTCAGGACCTTAAGGACCGTTTGGACCTTCAGGACCCTCAGGACCTTCAGGACCTTCAGGACCTTCAGGGCCTTCAGGACCGTTTGGACCTTAAGGACCCTCAGGACCTTCAGGACCCTCAGGACAGTTTGGACCTTCGGACCTTCAGGACCGTTTGGACCTTCAGGACCCTCAGGACCGTTTGGACCTTCAGGACCGTTTGGACCTTCAGGACCTTAAAGACCGTTTGGACCTTCAGGACCCTCAGGACCTTCAGGATTCTCAGGACCGTTTGGACCTTCAGGACCTTAAGGACCGTTTGGACCTTCAGGACCCTCAGGACCTTTAGGACCCTCAGGACCGTTTGGACCTTCAGGACCCTCAGGACCTTCAGGACCGTTTGGACCCTCAGGACCATTAGGACCTTCAGGACCTTTAACACTGATTTTTTTTTTTTTTTAATAGTTTTAGAGAAAAAAAAAACTTTTTAAAATTCAGTTTCAACCTGAAAACACAAAGACACACACAAAGACAC